CCATTGACGACGGGTCCTCGAGAGGACGGAGCATTGTTCCCACAGGACCGATCACCGATCGCCAATCGTTCCTTTCTACTTTGCCAAAGGTGGCTCAAAAATGTCTTCCCTAGTCTGCCTATCCTAACGATATCTCTTCCCGCCTTTTCAGCCCATCTCCTATGCCCCAGTACAGCTACCGTCCTTTCCTCTCTATTCCATGCCTCAAACATCTCCCTGTACGTTCCATCTATTTTTCCCAGCTCAGTCACGTACACTTCCCTCTCCTTCTTGTACAACGGACATTCCGCGACTACATGAACACGGTCTTCGCATTCGAAGCCGCAATCACATTTGAACTCGTCGTCTTCCTCGTCTATCGTCCTATGTCTTCGTCCACGTTCTAGAAGGCCTATGTCCCCGGTCCTGAATTTGACCTTACCCTTCNTCTCCTCTCCCATCCCGCACATGCGATACTGCCATGTCAGCTTTCTCGCGTCTCTTCCGGACCGTAGGGATTGGATCCCCAATTCTGCCCTGACGGCTGCATTACTTGTGCGCTTGGAGCATCCGAGGGGGGGGCTTGTTTTACAACGTCGTTGCCAAGCGACGAAAACCCAATCCGGATGGCAAACACTGGGGGGGGGCTGGGGCGCGGGGCGAAAATATCCATTCCGCCCCCACCAACAACTTACATGAGCTAGGTACTGCGGGGTGAGAGCATGGCAGCAGCAGTGAGACGTTTCTTATTGGACCCGCTTCCCCAGCTACCCGTTGTTTCTTGTGTCTCGCGGTTTCGCTCGAGCATGTTTCTTGTTGGGACGTTTCTCATGTTGTGGCCGCGATTAAGCTGGGTCCCTTTTTTCTTGTTTTTCGTGACCATTTGAGTCTTTTTTTAAGGGTAAGGCTGTTTCCTATACACCTGATATTCTTTCCCCAAAACATCACTTTTGAGGATGGGCGAAAATCCGGCTGGAAAAAAGTCCGGCCGTTCTTCCAGTGAACCGGATTCCTTGACCGGATTCTTGGGAGGTGGGTGCAGATCAACACAGACGACATTATCATCGAGTGCGACCTGAGTTCTTGACGTATCGCTCCCATCAAGGGCTTCGAGCAACCCTACGCTGAAAGGCTTGCTTTTCTGCACGCTGGCTGTTGATGATCGCTCGGCACGCGTGCGAAAAAAAAGTATCGAATCATGCCAAACAGGGAGACGCCGAAACAGGCCAAACCGCCACGAGAGAGCAAAACGAGCCGCTTTTGGTGAAAGAGGGGAGGACACCGCAACTGATTTCTCGCTCCCTAGGCCACCGATCGAAGCCAGACCGGTTAGGGCATGCTCTCCCTTGCTCTCTGCCGACGTAGATTTGCTCAGCAGCTCGTTGATCCAATCATCGTTGTCTGCGTGTACACAACCTGTCTGTTGAAATTGTTTCCAGACCTTCAACACAGCAGTCTATTCTCAAGTGAAGCAGACCAGAAAAAAAACACAGTTCGAAAAAGCAACGGGCACCGCGCGCATGCTTCTCTCCGTCCATCGAGAGTAAACAACATGCCCTCCTGTAAAACGCATTGTCCCTCACGAATGCATGCACGCAACACAAAACGTGCGCCATGTTTACACCCTACCTCGCACCATCCAGTGCACGGCTACAACCAGCAGTCACGTGCTTGATAAGAAACAGCTACCTCGCCACGTACGTGCGCAGAAACACGCCGTTTTCTGGCACAAAGTCGAATGTTTCCACAAAAACAGTTACAGCGCTGGGCGTACGGCTTCATCGGACACAAACACGGTGTGTCCGCGGCACTCATAAGGACACACACGCAAAGACCAGACACAAGAGTGACGTGGCACAATCACAATACCTACGACAGGACGCCTGAAAAAACAGCGTCAAAGGCACGCACTCTTGCTAAAGTGGTTGACGTTTTTAGTTTCGTCGGCCTGCGAAGGTTGAAGGTTGCGGTTTTTCAGTATCCGCTGGCGGTTGGGGCCATTAAGTGCCCGATGGTGTCCTGCCACGGGGTGTGCTCATAGTGCCCTCTGGCCATGAGGATCGTCGCCCGGAAAATCTTGAGCCCTCTCTGTGCCAAGGCCCACGACAAGAGGCCCGTGAACTCTACGCGACAGTGGAACCTGAAAATACGCACGCGGTAGGCACGCGGTAGGAAACATGCAATGTGTCAATGAACATGTTCCATCGCATGATGCACACATCCATCAAAGCACGAGAGATGCTACGTCATGGACGATTCGTGTCTTTTGCACTGGGGTGTGCAGGGTGGTGGGCGGGGGGGTTAAAAACAGACTTGCGGGAAAAATGGGAACGTACCCAAAAATGAGAAT